ACATAAAGCCCAGGAAACAAATGAAAATAATGTGAAGGTACACTGCTTAGCAGGATTTTTGATATGCTAGACAAACTAAATTGGTGCACTCGCTCTGAATGCAGTTCTCCTACATATGGGCATGTTGAGAGGTGAAGGGGCCATAGCACATGTAAAAAATATTTACAGTGACTAATTTGATCTATATCTTTAAAGAAAAAGCATAAGAAAATTTGCCATATGCTTTAATGGCAGCAACTCTTGGCAATCAGCAAAATACAGCTTCAAAATGCACAATGGTGAAATTATAACATGTCTACTGTATAGTACCATCTGCTAGAAAAAAAGTGACCAAAAATTACCTGTGGAACTTGTCACAAATTATTGCAATTCAGTATCCATGTTGCTCATGGGAGATTTTAACAATACAGATTTGTACTGAATAATGCAAACAGTCTGACACTGATGAAAGTGGCTCCCTGTTGCCTGCAAGAGAATTTTGTGATCCAGAAATTAAAAACTTCAGCCCCAGGAGAATCTGTCTTGGAAGCAGTACTTATTTATAGAAATTCCAAGACTAAGGAAAGCTGTAATCATAACTGATAGCTTGAATTCAGCAGGAAGCAAAAAATAGATTGAGAGAGTGCAAAAACAGAAGGAGATGCAGCTGCATCAAGGAAATGCTGAGGCCTTAAGAAATCTGGAAAGTAATATGGAATTAATATAGTTTAGCTTTTGCTTTCAGAGGACGGGAAAAGGTGCTCTCTTTCCATTTTGTGTTTACTAAACATCTGCACATAAATTTTGTAAATACCAGATGCTCAGTGAAGCATCTCTTAACAGGTTGATAAGCTTATTCCAGAACAATTGAGTATGTTTTGAAGCCATCAGTGGTCTTGCACTCCACATTACTTTGACTTCACCTCATCCTGTGCTTTCCAGCAATGAGAAGCAGCTGGTTTAAGTATCATTTATGCCTGAATGGCTAAAGATAGCAGTAGCTAATAAGAAAGAAAGAAGACTGAATTTAAGTCTCTCCAGACAAAAAACATTAGAGGTCAGGCCAGTGCTTCAAAATGAGAAGGATATGTAAGTAAAACAGAAGAAGGCCCCAAAGGAGCAGAAGCATTGTCGGGGTGAAGCACATCAGGAAATCACCGCCATGTCTTCTGAGAGCTTTACTTCATGGCTGAGCCCTTAGAAAGCAACTCCAAACTGGAGACTCAGAAGATAGTCAAGGTGGTCCAAACACGATTCCAAGCTCACGAGGCGTTTTAGTGCTATTTTAGTACTCAGCTCCAGACAAGCCTTTCCCTCTCACTTCAGCTGCACTAGTTATTAGCAAAGGCTCTTGGTACTAGTCAGAAGGACTTTGGATGGGTGTCCCACAGGCTTGCAAGACCTGGGTGTAATACAAGAGTTGTCTCACACCTAGAAACTGCTACACATGAGATAAAATGGAAGGGAATTATTCAGGAGATTAGCTAAGCAAAATTCATTATGGTGGAATTGGAATTAAATGGTGGGATCAAAAAAAGAGAGAAAACTCAGTTGGAGCATTAGAAAAAACATTCTGATATAAACTACTTCAAGCTGACGAGTAACATGACAAGTCACCAGTACAAAGCATTGGTATTTGGGACATACCAAACTAGATATACTACTACAAAATGCATCCTGGAGAACAAGCTTGCAATGACAGGAGAACAGACAGCATGATGTATTTTTGCCTTTTTTATTCTTGATCTAGACTATTTCACATATTCTGTGATGTGGATTAGCAATCTTTGAGCTTTGTGAGGTAATTCTGAGACAGCAATCAGTAATTTACATAATTAGCATAACAGTATTTAATTATATGATTACTGTAAATATGTGTAAAACTCTAATGGTGTAATTAGAATGTGTAATTACTACTTGTAATTACATAATTAGGTATGATGATGTAACTAAACTTCTCATGGAAAAAAAGGATATTTACAAGCCCAGCTATAGGAACCAGTATGGTGCATAATTATATTGGTGGTATAAAAAGAAAATGTACCATTTTAATGCTAGCTGTGCTAAAGCTAGCTCAAAAGTAGATGAATGCTAAAAGTTTGTGAACTCTGCCATAGTACTGGAAGAATGCATTGACTTCCCTCAACAGGGACAGTGCAATGACTACAGTCAGTACAAACATTATTCCCATCCTTAATTATCTGTTATTTATTGATAACCCTTTATACACTTAGCTGAATAACATGAGTATAAAAAGTGGTATAATGGAAATATTCAAATATCTACCTCATGTAGCATTTTCTAATTACTAATTTAAGTAACATATTACTTTTCTCTTAAGTTTCCAAAGCACATCTGATTTCACGCTCCTCCCATGATACTGTCCTGCAGACACCAGATTGGTGGTACCTCCTTATGCGGGTCCCTACCCAGAGGAAGTACAGAACAGAAGCTTTTTACCACTGCACTTCAGCGTTGCATTGCCATGCCCCCCATTTACCACACCATGGAATCATAGAATCATAGAACGGTTTGGGTTGGAAGGGACCTTGAAGATCATCTAGTTCCAACCCCCCTGCCATGGGCAGGGACACCTTCCACTAGACCAGGTTGCTCCAAGCCCCATCCAACCTGGCCTTGAACACTGCCAGGGATGGGGCATCCACAGCCTCTCTGGGCAACCTGTTCCAGTGTCTCACCACCCTCACAGTGAAGAACTTCTTCCTGACATCTCTTCTAAATCTACCCTCTTTCAGTTTAAAGCCATTACCCCTTGTCCTATCCCTACATGTCCTTGTAAAAAGTCTCTCTCTGGCTTCCTTGCAGGCCCTCTTTAGGTACTGGGAGGCTGCTATAAGGTCTCCCTGGAGCCTTCTCTAGGCTGAACCACCCCAACTCTCTCAGCCTGTACACACTTTGCAGCTGACAGATTAATAGTTACTGCAAAGCACACTTTAAAACTCACTGTCCTTGATCTCTACACCAAAGCAATTTGACTGTTGTATAGAGCCTTATCGCAATTATAAAAATTCTTTAACACTCAACAGAATTATCCTTTCAAATAACTTAGTATTCTTCTCTATGGGCTAGACAATGGAGTCCTGGGTCACAGCTGTCAGCATTTATATACAGAAGCATCTCCAGAAAGATCATTTGACTAGGTGATTGGCTTACCAGTGTAAATCCTCAAAGTATGACCCAGAAAGACAGACTGTAGGTAGGATATTTTGCAATTCAGTAATGCTTTACTGACATTAGCAGAATTCTTTCACTATTTCAATACAATGGAAATTTCTATTTTTTATACATATATATATTTTCTGTTATATGCTCTCCAAACCAGAAATATGTATGTTTGTATATATATATATATACACACATAAAAACAAATCCAGTATAATGTATAAAATATACAACTTCACACACAAAGTTTATTTTTATATATAATTACATATACATCTATAAAAAGAAAAAGAAATACAAAATAACAGATGATGATTCAGAAAATGCAATGATCACTTCAAGTAATAGCTCTGACTACCCCATTTCTAGCAAAACAGGAGATTGGTTTTATGTGGTCTATAATCTGAGCAACGTTCATGACGCAGCCAAAAAAACAGAAGGGATAAACTCTGAAGAGATGGATGAGATTCCTGGTGGAATTCCAAATGGTAATTCAATTGCACCTTATAAAGAAATACACGAAGTGATTCACCAGCAACATTTACGGAAAACTTTAACAGATGTTAATCGATGTTAATTTTTTTTTACAAATTCTTTCAGGTAGCCATATAGGCCTGTAAAATTTCTCAAAGCAAAACTTGATTTCTCTCTAGAATTATATACACATTATATTGGATGCTTCAAATCTTTTGCCTGATGCATATATAAATCTGGGAAGTCACTGAGGCTACTTCAAAAATTCCAGCTTGTCATTTGTGGTTATTGGTCCATATTGTTTTCTTCTCCATTCTTCCCCATGCATCCACAATGTGAACACAGGAAAATGAAGCATATTCTTCAGCTTTGTTACGGTTTTATTTATTTAGCATTCAACTTGCAACTTTTTTTTTTTTTTTTAATTTTTCCTGCTACACATAGTAGGTCTTCCTTGAAATACAAATCTCCTTTTTTGAATGTGGATGACTCCAGTATTTCAGGTATTTTGAATGCAGTATCTAATACTACAGATGCTAACACACAAACACTTTCCTTTTTCTCCTTAAGGTACCAAGCTTGATATATCTCGGGACTATGTTAGCTTTTTACACAACACTGTAGTATTGACATCCTGTGTTCGACTAAAACACATGGGCTTTCTTCTCTGCAGTATTTCAAATACATGAACCTCTAACATCTGTTATTAACTGTTAAGTTAAGGTACATTGCATCTCATACCATAGCAGTTTATTCTATTTTTGTTATTTTGGTCTTCAAGACTACCTAGTCTTTCACATGTGAAGAACTCCTTTGTAGTAACAACTTTAGGAATCAGACCTTTATAGTGCCTTCATAGTCGATGTTATTGGTAAAATCATGCAACGTTGTTCCCAGGACAGATCCAGGAAGAACGCCACTAATGACCTCTCTGTAAACCAGTGGTCCCATTTTCAGAGGCTAGAGACATGTCAGAGAAAGTAAAAAATTTTTTCCCTGCTCTTAAACTTGTTGATATCTGCTAATAATTACTGCTGAAGATGGGATACTTGGTGAGATGAACCCCTAGCCTGAAACAGTTTTTGTGTTTTTCTACTTTGCACTATTTACTCCTTCTTGTTTGACTCAGATAATAATTTTGCATTTTGCAAATGTTTCCATCATATCAGATGCTTTACTTGAATGCATGACAGATTTGGTCTCTTGAATTTCCTCCATTTTAAAAAGAATTAGATGGCTATTTTGAGCATTAGGTATTTATAGGTTAGAGAAGTATTTCCATAGTATGCTATAGTTGTTTCTGCAAAAGAAATTATTTATTTATTTTATTTCAAAAAATAGATGTAAAAACATGCAATACTTACTCTGTTGGCAGTTTCTTCCCATAAATTCACCTGGACATTCACAGGAATAGTTGGCAACGAGATCTGTACAGATTCCACCATTCTTGCAGGGTTCGGCTTCACATTCATTTACATCTGCAAGAAGCAAAACCCATAATGTCAGTATTAGCAAAAAGAAATTGTAAAAGCAATAAGCACATGTTTCAAAGCACTAAACCACAACATATTTATACAATTGACATTAGAAGACATACCTTCTTTTGCCCAGCAAACATGCTGAGTAAAGGATGTGACTAAACAGGTCATGCTTTAGGAAAAAACCACTGCAATCTCATATAAATTTAGCTAGTTTCATATACCTTCTAAAGTTTTACTACGTCCCATCACACAACATAATTTAAAGTTTTGCTCAGGGATTTTCACTGTAACTTCCAGAGGACATCAGGGCCACAAGTCATAGTTGAGCCTTAAATAAACAAATTCAATTAGTTCTAACAGAGTACTCATTAGTGATCCTCGCAACTTCAAGAAATGTAGCTACTTCTTTATCAACAGATGCCAGTTAAGAATGTGTCTCAGTTCATCTTAATTCATTAAGCATCTAATTGACAAGGTTGTTTAACCGTCTAAAAAATTTCCTTCCTGTGCATGAGTTAGTGGGCAAATTGAAACTAATAGCTTGATCCAGAAGCTTGCAAATTTTATTAAATTCAAAAGACAGAAAAGGTGGTTAATTTCATTTGAGTTTCCCTTTTCCACTACACTTTGTCAAATGCTGCAAGAATAATACTCCCCCATGTTTTTCAGTGTAGTAACCTTCAAGTATAACATCAGAGTCTTTTTCTCAAATGTACTAGAGTATTATTCAGTCATCATAAACAGACAGATGAAGGATAATGATATCTCATAATTAAAATTCTCCATCTCTGCATTTATGTTTATTCTGTATGGAGTAGAAACATTGTATGGATTTTATACATCATTGTCTCAAAGGGCTGCATCAATGCATACAGTTAAGTATTTAAAAGATGGTAGCCCACACCAGCTTCATTAAGTCCTGTTGCATTAGACACTGTAAACAGCAAACAGAAAAGCAGTCTTTAGCTTGTTCTAGAATTTTACTTCATTCAATTTTGCTTAAGTGCATATTCATTTTGAATACAGTTGCTGATAAAGCACCTATGTGCATAGCACAGAAATAAGTTCAAATGAGAAGACAACAGAGATGAACTAGTGGCATTCATTGGTGGCTGAAATGCACTACAAATTGAAGTAGTACTCCTCACTGTTGTGTTGAATCTGCTTCTGTCCCCAAAATGCAAACCTGGTTTGCACTGGCTTATGCAAACTAAAGAAGATGCTACATAAGGTCTAAACCTGATGCAATAAGGCTTGTGCGGAAGAAGCAGAATTCAGCTCTGTCAATAAAGTTGCTTGATTTCTGGTACTTGAGTATGTAACTTTTGTACTTTTAATTTGTTTTTTTACATTTACTAGGAATCTATGTACAAAAATTCAGTGGTTTAATATACACAACTTGCCTACCTCTGATTGATTTTGTGATGTCTCCAAGGGACTCTGTGCCTCCAGTCTTTTCTGCAGATCCAAAAAGCTGTGTAGCTTTTAAATTATGTCTGCAATGTATGGGAGGTAGGTTGAAAACTGGCTGAATGGCCAGGACCAGAGGGTGTTGATCAGTGGTATGAAGTCTAGCTGGAGGCCAGTAATTATCAGTGTACCACTAGAGCCAATACTGGTCTGATCCTGTTCAGCATCTTCACTAATGATCTGCATGGGCAGAATTGACCCTCACTGAGTTTGCTGATGACACAAAACTGGGAAGAGCAGCCGATACACCAGATGGGTGTGCTGCCGTCCAGAGGGACCTCAACAGGCTGGAGAAATGGGCTGAACAGGAACCTCATGAAGCTCAACAGGGGAAGTGCCAAGTCCTGCCTCTGCCCCTGGGGAGGAACAGCCCCATGCACCAGGACATGTTGGCCAGCTGACCAGCTGGAAAGCAGCTTGGCAGAGAAGGACCTGGGGGTCCTGGTGGACAACAAGTTGACCATGAGACAGCAATGTGCCCTCCTGGCAAAGGCGGCCAACACCCTCCTGGGCTGCATCAGGCAGCGCATTGCCAGCAGGTTGAGGGAGCTGATCCTTCTCTCTGCTCAGTACTGGTGAGTCCTGGGTCCAGTTCTGGGCTGCTCAGTATAAAAGAGACATGGACTTACTGGAGAGAGTCCAACAAAGGGCCACTAAGATCATGAAGGGACTAGAGCACCTCACTTGCGAGGAAAGGCTGAGAGAGCTGGTACTGTTTAGCTTAAAGTAGAGGAGGGTCAGGAGGAAACTCCTCAATGTATATAAATACCTGAATGGAACGTGCAAAGAAGATGGAGCCAAGCTCTTTTCAGTGGTGGCCAGTGACAGGACAAGAGGCAATGGGCACAACCTGAAACAGGGCGTTTCATCTCAACGTCAGAAACCACTTTTTTACTGTAAGCGTGACTAAGCAGTGGCATAGGCTGGTCAGGGAGTTTGTGGATTCTCCATCTCTGGAGATATTCAAAATCCATTTGGATATAGTGCTGGGCAACCAGCTCTAGGTGGCCCTGCTTGAGCAGGAGGAGGTGGACCAGATGACCTCCCAAGGTCCCTTTTACCCTCAACCCTTCTGTGATTCTGTGATAATCTTTCCATTGCTGTGAAGAGAAATGCAGGGACAGACCTCCAGCTAAATGTGGAGGCTAGTTTCAGTCCTTTGAACAAGAAAAAATTCAGATTTTTATACTAAAATTGATGATGGTTACTGATCTCTGAGCTTCTTTTTAATCCCTTGTGTCTTACTATTTGTTGCCCATAAAGATATTACATACTGGACTAATAAAAATTCATAGTGTTAGCTGAATTTCTGTCTATTAAAGAGGAAGAAGAGGAGTACCAGCTTAGCGTGCGAGAAATAAAACCTGCCAAGGGAAATGACCAAAGAACAGACCTGCTCAATTCTCAATTAAATTCTTTATATGTATTTATAAAACTTAATAAGATTCTTCAGCTCCCTATTTGCCTTTTTAAGCAAAGCCCATTAACCTTAACATTTTCATCAGGTTATTCATCATTTTCATACAGGCTAACACATTTGTGGGAAAAAAAATATCAAGGTCACTGTGAACTAAAAAACATTAAATGAACATATGAACTATCTCTTACTTGGTGAAATAAAGGTAGTAATTTATCCTCTTAAAAGCTTTTCTGTGTAAAGATAATATCTTCTCAAGATATTTAAATGTTTCTGATTTGCCATTCATATTGAAATATGTAGGAAAAAATGCACAGCTTTCCAGCGTATTTCATATTGTCTATGCAATGATGTAGAAAACAAACTGAACCTTAAGTACCAAGTAGTTCTAAAGCAATCCTCACATTCTATCCCTATGGAGCAATTAGCTATGATCAGTGCAGAAAGATGGAAGTTTATTATTATTATATTTGTTACTTGGATCCTACAGTGATTTTTTCCCAGTAATTTGAGAACCTTCAGTCCTATCAGTTCAGACAAGTATGTCATATTTGATGAATGAGGAAAGACTAGCTCATTGTAGCAGCATGTTTGATACCAGAACAGACATTTATTTGGAAAGATAACAACTAACTGTGTTAAAGAAAGGAGCATAAGTTCTACAGAATTATTTAATTTACTATTCATTATTTCATTTGATTGAATGTGCAGATGTAGAATATTTAATTAAAAGAGGTTCCTGCAAATTGTGGTCAGCTTTTGTTCAAATTCCTAGGTGTGCCAATTATGATACTAAGCCTTACACCAGCTGGTCTGTTTCCTTCTTCTAAAACATATATATTCCCTTTTTAACTTTGTTATATTGTCACTATTAGAAGTAAATTTGAATAGAAATTTTAAAATACTCCAGAGTTACTGAAGTAGTTGTTCCTAAAGACAATAAAAGTTCCCAAAGAAAAGCTCTCTGTATGTTGTCAGATACAAATTCTTCACTGACTATGCAATCAAACTACCTAAGTGATAAGGATGTGCTTTTAATGTAAATTAACTAATATAAAGTAAAATCACTGTAGGTTGCTCATGATTTTTCAGGTAAGCTTAGGTTAGATTTTGAAGTGTTGTTCAGATAACAATCTTATACACTGCAGTAACTATAACACAGGTAGCTGGGTACTACCAGAGAACTGAGTTCCTCACAGAGGGACCTAGTAAGACTCTTAAATACTGAGTGAAATGGGGTCCTGAAGAGGTTTAACTGCCAGCACAGGAAAAGCCTGTATTTCTAAAAAGTGTCCAGGTTAGCTGAAAACAAACGAACAACCAAAAAAACCCAACCCTTCCCAAACCACCCCTGGTCTGTGACCCATCCCCCCAAGATTTCTCTACCGAAGATGGATTCTAAATTTCATAGTGGTGAAGGAACAAGGAAACACTGACCATTTTCTGAAAACAGACTGATCCTTGCATAATAGCTTGAAGGGCAAAGACAGTTGATCAGGAAGTAAAGGCTATGCTAAGGTTTCTTTTTATGTTGAAGATGATTAATTTTACATTTCCTACCTCGTAAGATCAAACCATAACTACAAAGCTATTAAGCACACTTCTGTTTGAAGCACAGTCATTGTGCACCCTGGAACAGAAGTATGCTGTCAGAAACTGGGCAACTAGGAGACAGCTTCACTATATTACATAGTGATTTGGAGAACCATTGTGAAGCAGAGTTCTGGGGTTTTGTCCTTCTTTGCTAGATTATTTATTATATTTAACCCTCGAAGTATTTAATAAACATGAATAAAGCCTAGTACTGTACTTGCAAACATAATATAATTAAAAAACCACAATCCTAATTTGACTTCACCTGTTAAATAGTCACACGTGTTTTTCTGAAAAATTACACCACATGAAATAAGTATACAAATTATGTAACTGTTTTAATAAAAGATTTAACTATTACTTCCAGTAATTTGAGTTCTTCAGCAAGCTACTTGATGTAAACCTGGCTTTTTGTGATGAAGGGACTGATAAGCTCAATCAGTTGTTTTTGCCAACACAGCTTGTGTTTTGGCTGCAAGTGCACACCAGTATCTTGTTCCTGTCCCCTGCTTCCTTG